GTTACACAAGCAAAAAAAATGCCTTCGTCATAACAGTTTCTTAAATTTAGGAAACTAAATATAAATGTGTTGAGATGACAGTGCTCAAGAAACAAGTTATTGCTGAAGGAGCAAGCATGGGAGATTGAAGTCATATCACAGCTCCACATGGGCCAGCCAGCAGTGATTTGTGAGAACTACATGAACAAATAGCTTTGGACCGTCTTGTTCATCAACAACCTCAGATGGAGGCAGGGAATATTTCAGTCTCCATTTTTTCATTTTTTTTCTGAGTAGTTAGAGCAATTTCTCAGTGGGTTTGGGGTTTTTAATATAGTTCTCCTTTTTCTTTTTTTTTTTTTAATTTTGTATTTTGCACTATAACAAAGAGACCCAATTGAGAAAAAAGAAAAACAATAGCATGGAAATTTTTACTGTTATTTAGATCAGATAATTTGATGCTAGCATTCTGCACTGCAAACAAGGCTCTGAAAGAGGGAAAAATAAAATAAAATAATTAAAATAAAGTATAAAATAAATAAAAATAAAAATAAATAAAATCCACTATTGCACACTATCCTGTAGCAAAGTACCTACCATGAGAAATACATGCTATATTTTTTATGACCGCCAAACAAATAGCGTGTACAAGTAACATTTCCTTTGCTTTCATATTTATTTAGTAAATCTAGAACATTTCAAAGTTATAAATATATATATATAGATATCTATGTAGAACATAGCCAAATAAATATATATGAACTGGTCAATGTGCAAGTGGGTATACACACCTTGGCTCTTTGGCTTGAGCTCTCTGGTCTGATCCCTCAGCTGGCACTGGGCAGAGGTGGCCTCGTGCCCTGGCCGTGCTCTGGGGTCCCCCCTGCACCCCCTGCCCACGGAGCCCCCCAGGGCTGGGCAGGGGCAGCAGCTCCTCCAGGGTGAGCTGTTGGAAGCCAAGGTGCTGTTCCAGAAGGGAAAGTGGTTCAGCAGAGGAGCTCGTGGTTCAGAGGAGACAGGCAGTGCCCGGGGTGTCCGTCCGTGGGTCCGGGCGTTCGCCGGGCGCGGGGACACCCGGGTGACACCGGCTCAGGCTGCACCAACAGCCCCGGGGTTTGCCCATCAAACGCTGGCTGCTATGGAAACCTCTCCTTGATACAAAACATTACCAGGTGGAAAGCACCCTGACTGCCAGAGGAATCACTTCAGGCAGAAACTGGGAATGGTGGGGTTGGACTTGCTGTGGATTTGTCTGGGCATTTGTCACCTGCCATTATTTGTCTAAGGAAACGTGTTTGACAATTTCCAGTTTTTCCTTAGATCTCGTGGTGGACTTTAGCCTTTTAATAAATGTTAGTATATCAGATTGTGTCCTTGACAGTATTTTACTTGTATGAACCATGATAAAACATTAAAATCTTCATACTCTTCTGGCAGAAGTGTCAATAAACAAGAACGAGAAGCATAGCATACAATATATGTCAAAGTAATGTTCCTTTTTAGCTTTCTCATCAACAGTAAAAAATGTTTACAATGTATGCCAAGATCTTCACTTTCTGTCTAACACCAGTTAGAGGTTCTGATCTTACAGAAATTGTGTTATAATGGCCTCAGCCTCGTTGCTAGGAAACAATAGATCCCAATTTTTTTATTCCTGCTCTAACTCCTGTGCTGAATAGTGACTGGATACTGTACAGGTTTATGTTATATGGCTGCAGTTAAATGGTCTGATGCATTTTGCTCTGGGTTTCAGACCAGAAGCATGCATTTTCTACAAGAACATCCCAGCAACACACTGTAAATATTGAAAGTTAATATATTATGTGTCGATATTTGAAAAAGAAAGTACTTTGACTATTTCATTTTTAAAAAATAAAGGTGCAAACTTATGGCATGTGATGCTGTCTTTTATTTCATCGGTTTACATCAGTATTTGAGATATTCTGGTCATGTCAGTAAAAGGTACTTCCAAGAGCTAAATGAAGACTTCAGCCAATATTGATTGACTCAAAAGTTGGGGGCAGGATGTTGCTTAGCAAGATTTAATTTTCATTCTGATTCCCAAAGTTCATGCTTATAACTCTGCAGGTTTCACTGCAGGTGAAATCCCAGCCAGTTTCTGTGTAAAGGTTATTATATTTCATCAAAGGAAATGTGAGAGAAAAAAAATACTGCCTTAAATGCCTTTGCACTCCTGATAACAGTGTGACTGAAGTCAATGTTGCTGGCAGTGTGAGTAGCAAAGTTTAAGTATCTGCATGTTCTTTAGAGCTGCCTCAAATAGATGATGATGAATGATTCTGTGTTCTCAAAAGTATGTGCCCAGGAAAATAAAACATTAAAAGCCCAGTACATGCAGCAGAGAGAAGGAGCACATGAATGGAGGGGCACAAGGAATGCATAAGGCTAAAGGAAAGGTTACATGGTGAAAAACCATGGAAAGCTGGGCTGGGTAGGAACCAAGCAGGGGGGCTGAGGCTGTGCTGGGTGGATGAGAAGGAAGTGATTCCAAAGGGGTGGGTGCTCCAGTAGAAAAGGGAAGAAAACCAGCCTGGGATATGGTATTGATTGAGTGCTGCAGGAGGGCTGTCACAGGCACAGGCAGGGAGCAGGGGAGGCAAAGGCAGAGCTGAGGGAGCCTCGGCTGCTGCAGAGGAGCAGCGTTGTCTGTGCTGGGGAGGGGCCAGAACTGGGGCAGCACTGTGAGCTACAAAGCCACTTGCAGAGCTGGGGCTGTGGCAGCGAGGGGACGGGTGGGAGGGCTGGCAGGGGAACAGGGCACAGCGAGGGACTGTGCCCTGTGGGGCTGCAGCCTGAAGGAGATGGTGGGAGGGAAGCAGCAGGCAATACTGACATCATGTGGGAAGTCATACCAACAAAATGCAGCTGCTGCTCTCTAAAAGGATCTGTAGCTCATGACACCTAAGTCATTGTAGGAAATCAATATAATTTCCAAATTACTGTTGCCATAACCAAGCATCTACTTCTTGTCTCACAGGCACCACCAGCTTCTCTCTGTTTCCACCTTGTTTAAGCCTACAGCAATTCCAGACACTTGGGTACCCAAAAGAAACAATACAAGCCTTTGTCTTAATAATTTACACCAGAAACTGAAACGACATTCTCAGCTTTAAACAGAAATGGCATCTTCTGGCCTATTTTATGTATTTTTCAGAAGAACAATGCACTTCTGGAGTCAAACCAGTTATCCTCAGCTGACTGCACTGCAAAGCGGGTGAGCAGCTGCTGCTTGTGTACTGCAGGTTTTCCACATGCAGCCTCAGCCTCGAGTCAAGAGAGGACAGTTCAATAGGAAACAGCCCCTGGGCAGAGTTCTTCCCACTGCATGCATCCCTACACGGTGCAATCACCTGCCAGGGATGATTCCCAGGCACACCTGTTCCTGCTCCCAGGAGAGGCCAGGTGAATGAGGGGTGTACACCCAGCACTTGGAAAGCAGAAGAGCTCCCTGGGAAGGCTGGGGCTGCACACACGCACTGCCAGCACCCAGCAGCTCAGCAGGCTTTGCAGAGCTGGAGAGGAACTGCCAGGGACCAGATGCTGCAGGCTCACAGCAGGCTGGGAAACCTTTAAGGCAGGGAGGAGAAGGGAAAGCTTCAATGGGCACAAGTGACAGCAAACCAGCCAGTGCATTTGCTGAGTTATGTAACGACAAAAAAAAACCCAGCCTTTAAATATTTTACGAAAGAGAAAATCATGCTGGATCTGCCACTGTATGGCATTGTATTAAGGTAAGACTAATTTCAACCAACAAGCACACATACAAAAAAGGCACAGAGCAACACATGTACATGCAGTGTAAAATATGATGGGACAGTTCACTGTAGATGAAATTTGACCCTCAATTAGACAGAAACAGAGTAATGAACTGAAAATGCCTCAACCACAACTTTGCAACATTGTTGCCCAGTAGTCCCTGTTAAGACCAGGCTGTTCATTTATTGCACTTATTCCTATTTACAAAAAATTTGAGCTTCCTAGAAAATCTTTTATTGTTTGCACTGTCTCACTCACACACTCAGAGGGGGTAAAAAGGTAAACATTTCAGCCTTATCAAATGTTACTTGGAGCATCCACCTTGCTGCATCATGGACTTGCAGCCCACTTATTTCTGTCATTGTTCACACCCAACTTGCCTTTAGTGAGGTGAAAACAAGGCAGGTGTGGGGCCTCTTGCTGTGCCACCAAGCTGCAGGTGACAGTGTCTGGTGAAATTCAGTCAGTTATGTTCTCCCTGAGTCTGTAGCCTGGCATTTCTGGAAAAAGCCTCTTTGTCTTAGGAAATAGTTTTAGCCTTCCAAGATCTGCAGAAGAGACATGTATAGGCATAAAACATAACCAGAGGCACCCAAAGGTGCCTATACAATGTTTAAGAGTTGTTTTTCTGTAATTACATATATTTTTGTAGACCATTTGTAATCACTGTTAGTCGTCTGCTTTGGAAGGGAGCATGTGAGACTCCCATTCTTTTGGTAGTCAGGACCATTCCTGTTTGTTGAAGCATGGCCATTGGTGGCACAAAACAGCCATCTGGAGCAGATGCATCCCCCTTGCACACAAGCAAGGCTGGGTCCTAGCTGGGGTCCCTCCAAAGCCCACAGGAACTCACACAAACCTACCTGGCAAAAACCCACCTAGAGATAGTCTGGACTGTGGACAGCAGTGCAACACAGCCCTGTCTGCTCAAACACAGCCCTGTCTCCTCAAACACAGCCCTGTCTCCTCAAACACAGCCCTGTCTCCTCAAACACAAAGAGGGCCATAGGACACCCAGACTGTTCAAAAGTGTTTCCTGCTGTCTGGCAGTCCATTAGCCCAGTGCCATCTCACTTGTTTCACCCCAAGTGCAAAAGGCACATCCTCTGAGTTCTCCAGTAGCCTCACCTAACTCTGCACAGCTGAATCCTCTGGATTCAAAACTCCCTCCAGGAGCCCAGCAGCAGCATGGAAACACACAGAGAGGAAAAGAAAAGCTGTCATGCAAAAATAATTTATTTTTTTCACTTGTATGCAAGGATGGTTTGTTTCAAGTACAGGGAACACCTAAAAGCAAAGAACAAGGCTTTCCACTTCATTGGTGTTCTTGGTTACTCTGGGCATTACTTATGTTCTTGGTCATTGGTGAAAATTATGGATTTTGTTAGAGGGCAGAGCAACTGCTTTGATGGGAAATCAGTTATTGGGGATCCTCATGGTATCACATCTGGAATATCTTTAGGAACTGTATGAATGACAAACACACAGCCCATCCAAGGCAAGGACACTTTAATGTAAACAATTCTCCTAAGGTTATGAAAGGAGACTTGCCCAATTCTGCATAAATGCCAACCAGAACAAAGCAAAGCAGGATTCAAAGTTAAGCAATGTAAAATTAATAACTAATTATTAATTAAGAACTGATCTTGAAGGGAGAAATGTTTTTACTTGACAGTACAAAGAGGGAAAAAAAGACATAAAGGATTTAGCAGTTCATAGGGTTTTATCCTCTCTTGGGAAAAACAAAAACAAAAAATATCCCACCCTAACTTCAAAGTACTCTGAAATCTAAACTTCTACATCTTAAGCAATAAATTCTATGAAATACACATTTCTGCAAATGTTACAAGAAAACTCACAGAGTTGTATTTACTATCATATAAATCATTCTGTTTTAAAGCATAGATTAGAGGAGATGCTGGAAGATGTGGTTGTGTCACACTTGGGGAGACATCCTCATGATGGCTGCAGGTGGAAGTCATAGCCTTCATTCCTCCCTAAGAGAAATAATCACAAACATTTGAACAGATGAACACTGTAAGCAAATGGACAGTCCAGAAGGCTCATACATCCATGGGCAAGGGTGGTGGTGAGGGAAGGCAGCCATTGCTGCCCTAGCACTCAGGAATACATATTCAAAATCCATTTTCTTATCACATTGACAGGCCCTGTCTGTAATGAGCACCTGAGCAACAACATTTCAAATTACACTATAGCAAAGTTAGTGACATTTTTGGCAATGTCACTCTGCTGGCCAGTTCAGGTCAAATATACAAGTAAGTCTAAGACCTCGATCCCGGCCACCATGCAGGGTTCTGCTCAGCTGCAGCCAAGGTTTCCTCCCCCCACCAGTACCTGAGGAGTAGTTGGCTTTCACGTGGTTGACAACTGGGTTCTGCAGGGGTGTTACAATGCCTTGGTTGGGTTTCTGGAAGGCTGAAATGAGGTTGTGCACTTTCCGAAAGAGCCTCCGGGGGACCCCGGGCGCCGTCTGCAAAGCCAGAGGGGGAGAGGTGAGGAGGGTGCTGGGCACCCTGTGCTGACACACAGGCCTGGTGCTCAGAAATGCACACAGCTCCCAGGGAAGGAACCAGCCACGGATGTGAACCCCTGATGTGCCAGTTCCGGGTGAGTCAATGAGCCACACTGCTCTCTGCTTTCCTGGGGCCATCCCAGCCTTCCCACACTGAGCGGTTCCCAGCAGCATGGAGATAGAAAGGTGCAAGAGGGACAATTTCTTAATCACTACAAGAGAATCTCACACTAATTATCCACAGTCACCGGCCATACTAATTAGACAGACTTACAAGTGACCCTTTGCTGTTTCTGACCCTGACTTAATGTAGTCAGTGATTTAACCTTTTTACCAATAACTTTTTAGCCTGCATAAGTAAAATAGTTCCATCCTAGAAACACCAGTGAGAAAACCTAGAGAGCAGCCTGGGCTTACTATAGAGAGGGAGTCCTCACACCCCTAAATTCCAGCAAGGACACAGCATCTTTGCAAACCCTTCTTGGAGCATTCATTGCTGGCTTATGTGTTCATTGAGTATTCCTGTCTACTTCTTGTACAAAGACAGCAGCCAAATGTTACCTATTTATTAAAAGTGAGACTCTTTCTATCTCTCTATATTAGCAATTTTTCAAACAGTATTAAATGAAACTATGTGTGCTTTTAATCAAAAATCCAACATTTGTGTTAAATCCTTCAGGGCAGTCTCATAATAACTCCTCTTCACCGAAGTCAAGGGAGGACAAGCATGGGTCCTGCCAGCATAGTCCCACTCAGGGGACACTGCTCTCACCCAGCAGCTGTGAGCTAAATTCAGCCTCCCTGGCACCAGCTGGAATCTTCACTCTGGCTGAGATTCCACAGCACTTTTTTAAATTCCCTACCTCATCCTTGAAAGATGGGTGTGATCTGAGCTTGCTCAGACTAACCAGCCACAGGGAAGGAAGCAGAAGCAGGAAAGGACCAGCTGCCTCTGGAGTCTGTTTTGGCTTGCAGGCACAGTCTGTGGGGATCAGTTGGACCTAGGCTGCTGTGTCTAACAGCTGAAGCCAGCATGGTCTTAGCAACATTTACTTTAAAGTTTCTGTTCCATAAGGGAAGGGTTGGCATCATGGATCTGTAGCTAGAACCTTCTCCTGCAGAGCATGTACAGAGAAGCCTGGGCCTTCAGCACACATATGATGTGAAATTCGGGTAAGGTTTGCCTAAAATACAGCCAGGGAAAGCCCAAAAGCCACACATAGAGTGCCAGTGGAGGTCACAGGCCGGACATCATAGCAGGTCTATATAGCACCAGAAAACCTCACTGCAGATGCTGATCCCATCTGGGGCTAGAGGAGGCTGCAGCCTCAGCCAGGGAATTACCCTCCACCCAGGTGGAGTCCTGAAATCCTTCCATAGATAACAGTGCTTACCCTGGCAGGATGGGTGCACTGTCACCTTCACCCTGTCCTGAAAACTTCTGTCTTGGGCACTACAAATCCTAACCCGTACATCAACCTCCTGATGTCTGATAGAAAGAATTATTGGGCACTATTCCCAAGGGTCACATGGATAATTACCTACTCCACAGTAACGTCAGTCATTTCCATCCCCTGATCTGTTCAGAGTAACCCCAAGAACCAGTTTTGTGTTCCAGAATCACCTCTAATACAGTAATGGCCAAGGCATTATGCCTGTCTAGAAATTATATAATATTTGAAATATTATATACAGAAAGCTAATTATGAATTAATACACAGAGTACATCCAAAGGGAAAAAAAATCATAAAATAAATAGAGATTAACATCCCAATTTCATCAACCTAAATGTTGTCTGTATTACAAATAATGTTTTTGTGCACCCAAATTACCAGTTTCCCATCAGATGAGTGAAAATATATTTTGTATCAAGACTTGGCTGTATTTTGCACTAATGATGAATTGATCTGGATTAATGAATTAAAACTCTGTACATTGAAAATTATTTCTTTAATATTCTGACATTGATGGTACATAGGATAGACGGAAACAGATTGTGCTTGTCAAATTATAAAACCACAATATTTTTGCCATTTAAAATGATGCAAAATGATGCACTATTGCATTATGCAACAGCTGAAATGAAACAGGGAATTAATTTATGAGTTCTAGACTGTCAGAAGCGGCACCAAGACATCTTACTGATGGATGCACTCTAGATCGATTACCATCAATGAAAATCAGACTAGGCAGAAACATGAATAATTTGAATATATTTCATTAGATCTATAATCTATATCAAACAGGATGTACAAATTTTCAGAAGGGAAAGGAGAAGTACACACCTCAGCACTCCAGGATCCAGCTTCTGTCTGGGACACTCTGTAGGTATAAACATAACCCTGATGCCTGTGGGGAAAAAAAAACAAAAGGTATTTATTATTCATGTCTCCTGACAGTTTTCACAAGAACTACACTGTTATGTGAGAATTAGCTCATTTGCTAACTTTTCCTTAAAGATAAATTCAGCTCTAAAGGCTCTAGGTAGCTAAAAAACCACTGGATAGATGCAGTGTTAAATCTACTGGGTTTTTTTGGGATGAGAGGGATTGGTCTGATCCGGATCTAGTTTAGCAGTATTCAGTTATTTTAGGTTAAATGGTGTTGCTTCTATTCCTTCCTCAGCATTTTTATTAATTTTTTTCAGTGATGTCCTTTCACTGACACACACCAGAAGCACTTTGCCTACAAAAAGAGAAGGTGTATTATTGACAGGTAGCATTACCGTTCTGTGACTTGCTTAAATCCAGATGTTAACAGCAGCAATTACTGTAATTTATTTGGAAAACTACACCTAAAAAAAGGACTTAAATCAATTACTCTTTGCTTTGCCCATATGTTCCCAACTTTCAAATACTGTCTCCAAAAAGAGACATATAAGGCTATGGAATCTTCCTTCTTTTAAAATCAAAGTCTTTGGGGAATTAGCCATAGACTATTAACACAAGGCACAACTCGTGCCAAAGTCACTCTTGCTTCTCTCACAAACCCAACTCAGTGAATGATTTACATGGTAGATTACTACACTAATATCCAAAAATTTAACTCAGAAACAATTAATAGAGGCTCCATGGGTACAGCATTAGTTTAGATGGTATCAGATAAGAAAGACTGTATTGAATTCAAGCAGCATTTGGATGGTGCTCTCAGGCACATGGTGTGATTCTTGGGATGTCCTCTGCTGTGCCAGGAATTGGACTCAATGATGGGACGCCCACTGGGTCCCTTCTAACTCAGCATATCCTATTATTCTATGCTTCTGTTTCACACTACATACATTTACATGAATACACAACAGGATTTTAAGGACCATTCCCGATTTTGCCATCAATTCTTATTCTTAAGAAAGCAGAAATATACTGTATTTACTTCCAGTTATGCATGGCATTATAGCAGCTACTACAAAATATGAGAAACCATCAGTGACACAGACATCATATGATTGCAATTACTCATGATCTGTGTCAAATTCCTGTTTAAAAGTCATTACAGCAACCTTTGCAAAGTGGTGGCTGGTATAATAAAAGGAAGTTGTTAAGAGCTGGCACTCTGCTACAACCCAGCAAAGTGGGAGCAAAATGCCTGTGATGATTTGAGAACTCTGCCCCCACCACTTGAGTCCCAGTGTGATTAGGCACAGAGGTGAAGGACACAAAGCCATCCCCTCCCACCCAGGCTGCTGCAGGGACAAGCTCCCTGTGCACAGCTGAGACACTGCCCTCCTCTCCTCAAGTATGGGAATGTGCCTGATAGTGCCCCACCACCACACCACAGCTTCATCCACCTCTTCATGCCTACCTAGAGAGCCTTCTCCCTGACTTTCTGTACACCACCAGACATGGAAAGCAGCTGGCCATGCTCACAGAAACCTAAGGAGGAAAACAGCCATCACTGGTTTTCCCCTCTTTTTTCCCCAGCAAACTGCAGTCCATCAGGGATTTGGACCTTGGGAAGAAACATGAACAGGTTGCTGCTGTGGCTGCAGGAGGAGGGGAGAATGTGGAGCTGCTTTCCTGTCCATGCCATAGCACCACGGTCACTGGTGTTTGAAGCCACAACTCAAGCCCAGTTGGCTAAAAGCACATTCCTCTAAGCCACTAGATTATGTATGTTCTTGTTCTGGGAACCCAGTGTCTCCCTTTAGGGCCCTCAGACAGTCTTGTACCATCTCTTCTTAAAGATTGACAGCTGGGCTTGTGTCATCAGCTTTCTATAACATTATGTTCACATGAATCTTTTATTTTAAATCACAAGGAGGTTTGCTGTACCTAAACATGTACAATACCAGCCAACACACAGTTACTGAAATGAGGATTTTACAGGCCATAATGTACTGGAAAATACCAGAGAGGTCCTGGCATTTTGTTCCATCTCTTTGAAGTGGGTATTTAACCTTTTACACAGTGATTTTTTTCAAGTCTCAAATCTGCCAGTATGATTCTACACATCTAAAACTCATTGTCTTGACTTCTATTTTCAGTATGACACTGTGCACAAGGATATGAGCAACCTGGTCTAGTGGGTGGCATCCCTGCCCACATCAGGACAAGCTGGAACTAGATGATTAGATGAACTAGGGGATGTTTAAAGTCCCTTCTAATCCAAGCCATTTTATGATCCTATGATTCTACTACCCTTGCTTGATTCTTGGTTTTCCCAAAGGTTTTCCCAACTGCTTCAGTCCCTTTAAAATCTGATTTTTCCACAAACAGCACGGTTATCTGGAAAGTCTCTATTTGTTGTTTCTTTCACTGTTTTCTCTACATAAGAGGTTGCATGAGTTGAAGAGGTTGAGGGGCTGTGGTGCTGGTCTGACTCTGAGCTGTCTGTTGGCTCTCAGCACTATACCAGAAAGGTTTTCTAAGCTGAATGAATTGAAAAATAGAGGTCAGATAAAATAATATTCAGTATTGAAGTATGGTGAGATACAATGCAGCTATCCTGCATTTTTCAAAATATCACACTGTAAAATATTTCAGCTGAGCACAGGGAAAGCACAAAGGATAGTTCAGATTAAAAGCCCATGAGGTTTGAAAAAGGAACAAGAATTTGAGAAGATGGATGCTTTGAGCACAGGGTGGAGAATAGGAAGAGAATGACATTGTTATCACAGCTTCCTGAGGGACAAGTGAGAGCTCTCCACTCTCTTGGAAAATGTTCATATTTCTCCCAGAGAAGGAAAGACTGAAAGGTCTGAGGGATTTTACTGTGCTTAAGTTGAAAAACACAATATTATCATCTGTTATTGGCTCTGAAGCCACCAGGAAAGCAAGACCCTGTGTAAATGGGAGATGACCTGGACATCCCCATCTGCCTCTGCAGAGGCAATGCACAAAGGAAGGAAGGAAGGTGCATTTTGTTCAGAGGATGCACTGCTAGATCTTCCCGTTGAACTACTTTCCATTGGGACCTTGGTCTCCACAAAATGAATTATAGCTCTTCTGATAAGTTCTCTCCCAATGAATGTGATCTTATCAAAACTTTCTGTCATGCAGCAGCAACTTACTTCATTACCACTTCAAAGAGTGTTTTACCTTCCATACTTAGTGATATGATTTTGGGTGAAGTTTACTGCTATATGGGCAAAAGCCACCCATGAGAAAGGTTTTTATCATTTAATCTACCTTACATGAACTAAGATCAGTGTGGGCTGAAGGAAGATCAAGGTGTTTTTCTTGAAAGAAAAATTATATACACAAACTAAAATTGAGATTGCAGAGGACATTACCTTCAAAAGAGTAAAGCATGTAAGACTGGAAAAAAGCAGGTGAAAAAATTCATTTACTGAAGATTAAGTCTCAGGAAATGAGAAATTCCCCTGCTAACGTGAGAGGACAGCTCAATTTTCTACATTTTCTCTCTTCAGAGCAGAAAAAAAGCTCCTAGAGAGACACAATGTTCCTATAGGTGGTGTGAGCTCAGGGAGCACTCTCAGTGACACTGGTGTATCAGCACATCTTGGAGGAGGACCAGTTCATGACACCCAGGTAAAGATTCACTGAGAGGCTCCCCCATTGCTTCACCTGTCCCAAGCACAGACACAGCCCCACTCACAACAGCAAAGCTCCTCTCTCCTGTCAGTGAAGCTCAGGGTAGAGAAATAATCATGAATTAACATCTTGATGAGGCTGTATAAGTTTTTGATCATAGGCAAAAAATACCAGAATGCTGGTGAGGGGAAGCAGAAAAGAGCCACTGCTGTAAGGACAATACCAGACAGCACTTATGAAACAGTGCTTTGGTCACTACTAATGACATTTTTGTGACATCTCACTTTTCTTTTGTCTCCATAGGGAAGGATTTGTTATACCAGCTGGGAACTGCATTAACACAGGCTCTGTTTCAATACTTTCCCTTGGAAAACTTTTTCAAAGGAAAACCTAGAAAGAGTTGCTATTACAGGAATACTTTATATTATAGGCTTCTTTTTTCTTTATAGCCAGATAATTCCTCCCAAAGAGTTACCAAGGCATCGTTCACAGATGACACACTGAAACACCATCTGTCTACCTGTCCTCTCCATTCCTCCTTTTTAGCTGTGATCAGACATGTTAAAGCTGCATTTACTTTAACAGGTGAATGATTACAATCTTCTGCACCATTGAAATAGCCCGAGGACATTACATGCATGCTGCAGATTAAAATTAATGATGACATTTCAGCTGCATTGTATACTTTAACATCATTTCCAAATACTTTGCATCTCAGTTGGGAAATTTTTATTAAACTGATTTTTGTTCATTTCTGAGCCCAAAATTCAACACATTAAAAGGGAGAAAGACAGAGACAAGGGAAAGCCATGTCAGCAATAAATTACATCCATTTCTTCCTCTGTACGTATCTTTCTCTTCAGATGTCATTGTGTTAAGTCAATCAGCTCTTCTTACCTGGTACATTTACAACCTGACCTTACCTTGGGATTTCATTTTACAACATAGTTTAAGAACCAGACCATAGTGTAGCCTACAAACAATGGTTCTGAGCATTAGACTGCCCAGAGTCAGTTTCTTATAACTTTGCCACATTTCAGCATTTCAGACTGAAATTTCATTTCTTAGGTATTTGCCTTACCCTCATTTAGGGATGGAGAAGGCACAAGAGAACACGTTAGGCAAAACAGCGCTTTTCCCAATGTTTAAAAAAAAACAACCTTCTAATTGTCAGAGGAGGGGGTGCCTAGTTTTCAGAGTAAGACATACAATTTGTTTGAAAGAAGGTATATCTCTTGCTCTCTCTGAAAGCAGCAGTGGCTCTCTAGGCTGCAAGGGAAGCACCCTCTAAAGGTTGTTAGCAGTTGTAGCATCACCATGTCTGGCTATACCATGGGCACTCAGCCAAGCAGTGTCCAA